GCCCGAGCCCATGGGAAAGTATACCGCCAAATATGGGCTCCTGGGGGCAAAGTACACAGCATATAAATACCCCGGTACTTGAAGTGAGAACATTTTTTGTGGTGTTTATGACATTACAAAAAGTTTATTTTCAATGTCATTTAAAAGAAAATTGAAAAAAGTTAAACAGAAATTATGAGAAAATGTTAAATGTTCAAAATGATGCATGTGTGAAGCATTTATTAAGGAAGGATCTGATTCAAGGCGCCTTTAAATCAAAAGAAGGGATGTCCTGGTCATCACATTAAACAGTTACAAAGCACCCTGTACATTTACTTCCATCTGCAAAGCCAAAAGTACGATGAACGTGTATCATTTTTTTTTTCAGCAAAAATTCAATGAAGTTGTGCTATTACAAAACTGGAATTAATTTAAAATATAAATAGAACTTTCACAAACGTCAATTTTTAAGAAATTTTTAATGATATTTCAGACAATGATACTATCAAAAAATGAGGGGTATACACCCCGTTCAACATGTTGCATACACCCCGGACACAACATTGATTTTTCGTCAATATATATACGAACTGTTTTATTTAAAGACAATTTATACAAACGTTTATATTGTAAACATGTATTTAACAATAATATAAAATGATAAAGCAAAGCTTTGTTCTGATATTTGATCTTAAACACAGTGTAGCGTCTATAATCTTGCTCCGATCCTCGGAATTGTGTTGAGGTGTTTGATAAAATAGAAGGTTTGATTCATAGGTATCCATATACTCCTTAGATAACTTCAAGTAGGCACATGCTTTTTGGAAAAATAACAAGTTGAGAAAATAATAATAATAATAATAATAATAATACTTTCCTTTAAATTAGTGCAATGCACTATCCACCCAGCATGTTCCCAATAATACATGTACAATAATAAAAACATTTTACAATAATAAATAAATAATACAATATGAGGTAAAAATTATTTTTAGGACATTTTAGTTGCGACACTTTATAATAAATGTTTCAACATTTTTACGAAATGTGTGTAAATTCTGTGAAACGGATATACAAAGGTAAATTTGTTCCATAAATGAACACCAGAATAATGAAAAGAATTTTTTAATTGATTTGTTTGATATTTCTAGTTGAGGTCATAGTTTGTTTCAATATTATTCAGAACATAATTATTAGAAGAAATAAATTCAAAAGAGTCTTTAATAAGTAGGTGCCATACCATGAAGTGTTTTGTACAGTAGAGCAAATTACTAAAAATCGATGAACTCGTACAATGGCTAGGATTTAGTTTTTCAAATAATGGTAGTGAAGGGGCATCATAAGGATAAATCCGGGCTGCCCTTTTTTGCAATTTAAAAACGCCATCTACAGACTGGCGCATTACCCCAAATTTCGCCGTTTTCAACTGGAGTTGATTTTTGATCCTCTAAAACAGACTAAATGCCGAAATCAGAATTTATCAAAAGCACAATGCCTCTAGTACTCACCAATATCGATGAAAAGAAAATTTCACTCCACATTTTGTAACAGGACATGCAAGATTTTAAAATGTCCGAAATGAAGACAAATCTCGACAGTGTGATAAAACCTTTTTAACCGGATTATTTCATAAATTAACCATAAAAATAATATTTGTAAGTTCTTTAAGTATTGTACTATTGATAACTTTTGACTTTGAAATTTAATTCAGTTCGCAAGTATCTAAAATCAACTCGAGAATGCCGCCCCCAGTTTACGTGGTTCTGACGTTTTCCTGGCATGTAAAATATCAAAATCGTAAAAAAGCCAGGAAAACGTCAGATTTTTCGGACTAATGAAACACAATATTAAACCCGTAGCAATAACCATTCAAAATTATCGCAAAAGTTAGATTTTCAAAAATGGGTCAAAAGTCTTTGGTAGTATACGTGTATATTGTATATACGTTATGCTTGAGCAATACCTTCAAGTTCATTGATTAATTGTAATGAAGTATTGTTGATTTTAAATTATAGATTCAAATCTGCTCATAAGAAACATGAATCAAAATATATTAAGTAAATGAATATACCTCTTCCTCTATTTTCCACTTTTCCTTTTAAAATATGATTTTTCATCTTGTTTACCTATAAATTATCCCAAAACACCTTTTTTTGACCAAGCTGAAGTTGTAAAGCATCATTATAGGAATTTATTTCTTAAATTTGATATATCTGTGGGCACCTTTTATTTACTAGATCTTGACCTTTAAGTAAGTAATCTTGCATTGAAAGAACAGTTATTTAGGTTTTCTGAATTTTTCTTAAACATGACATGAGCACACCACTTCACTTTTGCAACTTTTAGCAGGAAGCATGTCTTATCTACTCAGTTCCCAGGATGATGTCAATTGACAATTAACTATATGTTTAATAACTGGATGAATTTATTCATGGAAAAATGTATACATGATCAATTGATGAAGTTGTTTGGAGCATCTTTTAACAATTCACTTTCATGGATATTTGGAATTAGCTATATTGTTCTGATGATTAAACTAATGGATATGAGTCAAGATGATCTTATCTCTTAAATATGAGCAGTTGAATTGTCTATTAACTACAGTGTATACACCTGGCATGAGATGATGTCAGGGATGGCAGACTTGCCGGATGCTGGATGTGACCTACATTTTCCAGATTTAAAGTTTTTGGAACAGGTTCATTCCAAAGTAACTATAAGCCCTACCTGGACCAAACTTGCATGGAGGATGCATCTTGGGATGGACACAAGTAGACTTGCTTCAGATGCTGGATCTGACCTACATTTTCCAGATGAGTGACCAGGTTAAAGTTTTTGGAGCAGGTCCATTCCCAAGTAACAATAAGCCCTATCCAGACCAAGTTTGCATGGATGATGCATCTGGGGATGGACACTACCAGACTTGGCTTCGGATGCTGGATGTGACCTACATTTTCCAGATGAGTGACCAGGTTAAAGTTTTTGGAGCAGGTCCATTCCCAATTAACTACAGTGTATAAGCCCTACCTGGACCAAATTTGCATGGATGATGCATCTAGGGATGGACACTACCAGACTTGCTTCGGATGCTGGATGTGACCTACATTTTCCAGATGAGTGACCAGATGAAGTTTTTGGAGCAGGTCCATTCCCAAGTAAATATAAGCCCTACCTGGACCAAACTTGCATAAATGATGCATCTTGGGATGGACACTACCAGACTTGCTTCGGATGCTTGATGTGACCTACATTTTTCAGATAAGTGACCAGGTTAAAGTTTTTGGAGCAGGTTTTTTCCCATGTAACTATAAGCCATACCTGAACCAAACCTGCGAGGATGATGCATCTAGGGATGGACACTATCAGACATGCTTCGGAGGCTGGATCTGACTTACATTTACCAGATCAGTGACTAGGTTATTCCCAAGTGACTATTAGCCCTACCTCGAGACCAAACTTGCATGGATGATGCATTTAAGGATGGACAATGGAAACTTGCTTCGGATGTTAGATCTGACCCACATTTTCCAGATGATTGATGAGGTTAAATTTTTTGGAACAGGTCAATCCCCAATGAATTTTAAGACCTATTTAAACAGAACTTGCTTGAATATTGTTGTCAGAATAAATGCTAACTGTTAAGAAAATATGATGTGAGATTTGCATTACCTTAATTGATAACATTCGTCGAGGTGAGCTTCATAATCTTTGATTACCTATGGGTTTTTTTTGGGGGGGGTATTTACTATATCAGTATCCCACTGCTGAAGCATTGAAAATGAAATAAAAACAAGCAAATTCAAGGAATTGTGGTCCCCAGCATTCGGTGTCTCTGTGGGTGCGATGTCATTTTTTATGACATATTGTGTGTAATATGATTGAACACCCTATCATATGTAATTTATTTAGAAATCATCACTGAACTCCAAGGTCAAGTTCAAAGGGTTAAAGTTCTTGGTATTCAATGAAAAGTCTTCTCACAAGGATTACATATGTAAAGTATGAAAGCCCTAGCCCTTACCATTCAAAAGTTATGGTCAAGGTTAAAGTGTTTTATGAGTACGAAAAACCACCAAGGTCAAGGTCAGAAGGTCAAGGTTGTTGATATCAAATGAAAAGTCTTGCCACAAAGAATACATATGTGAAATATGAAAGTCCTAGTATCTACTGTTCAAAAGTTGTGGCCAAGGTCGAAGTATTTGAAAAGTAGGTCAAACTCCAAGGTCAATGTCAAAGGGTCAAAGTTAATGATATCCAATGAAAGGTTTTCTCACAAGAATTGCATATATGAAGTATGAAAGCCCTAGCCCTTACCATTCAAAAGTTATGGTCAAGGTTAAAGTTTTTTCATAAGTTCGGAAATCTCCAAGGTCAAGGTCAAAAGGTCAAAGTTGTTGGTTTCCAATGAAAGGTCTAGTCACAAAGAATATATATGTGAAATATGAAAGTTATAGTGTCGTACATTCCAAAATTATGGCCAAAGTAAAAGTTTGGAATTTTTTAGTAAAAGTGGGTCAAACTCCAAGTCAAGGTCAAAAGGTCAAATTTGGTGGTACCCAAAGAAAGGTCTTATCACAAGGAATACACATGTGAAATATGAAAGTCATAGCTTCACTAAATCAAACGTTATGGGCAAGGTTAATGTTTTTGTGATGGACTGACAGACGGACATACTGACGGACAGATGAATGAGATTTAATGTCCCCTCGCTTTCGCGAAAGCAGGGGACAATAAATCTTGTCCTCTGGTCCTCTTATGATTTAACTTAATAAAACAGGTATCTTATGGAGACACATAAGAAAAAGGAAGTGACTTCAGTCTTATTTAGGCAAGATAATGATCAGTGACAATTTGAATAGTAATATCCTGTTCAATTTTCTTTCTCTTATGAATATGAGATCATGTTTCATTGACTCAAGGTCATTTGGACAAGGCAGTGGTTATTTCATAGTACTAGTTTAATTTATTTTCAAAAAATTTAATGAAAAATTTCATAAAGTTAGAATTTTCTTGTCTTTCAGAACAAAACATTTCAGGAGTATTGTATCTTAATCAGAAGACCAGCACTAGAAATTATGGATATTTTAAGGAGGATAAATTACAACTATCCCATCACACGTTTTCTACTGTGTATCCTTGTCATACTTTTTCTAAGCCTTGTTAATAAAATGATGCATTTGATTGACATTTATAATTTATTATACAGAGATATAGATGAGAGAAAATGCATATTATCTGACTAAATCTGACCATAACCTCTGAACTTTAAGTAGAAGATCAAGCACATTACTTCATGTCAGGTTAATGTCATATATGAAGGTCACAGAGCAAAATTTTGTAAGTTGGAAAAAAAATTGAAAATGTGATAAAACTATGTTTTCTTCAGATTATTTTATTATTACTGTGGAATCATTCTAATTCATTGGGGGTCAATGACTCAATGTTAGTGGGCAAGCTAAGGTTTACCTGTTCTTGCATGGGGACATAATTCTAAGGAGAATTCATTGAATGAAAGGTAGCTTCATAGACTAATTATGTTTTCAGAATTTTCATGGGGACTTAAATCTATGGGTGAGGGGTGACCTAATGATGATTCCACAGTATTTCAAATCATTGCATGTGTATTGATAAACCTTTTCTCTTAATATAAAACAAGAAATGTTATGTGAAATAGCTCTCAACAGTCTGTACTGCAAGTGATATTGATATGGGACTTCTGAAGTTAAAATTTCAGAATGCATTGAAAGGAAATTGTTTATTGAAAGTCTAACTACAGTTGATCTTCATTATCTCAAATATCTTGAATATCCAGATTTGTCAATTTGAGTTGACATTTTAGCTTACCTGAGCCGAAGGCTCAAAGTTAGATTTTCTGATAGAAATTTGTCCATTGTCTGTTGTCGTTGTTGTCATTGTCATGAACTTTTCACAATTTATCTTCTTCTCCAAAACTACTGGGCCAATTTCAATCAAACTTGGCATAGCGTATCATTGGGTAAAGGGGATTATAGTTTCTTCAAATGAAGGGCCACTCCCTCCTCCAATGGGAGATACTTACAAAATAGTGAAAAATTAATGGAATCACTGAAAGATCTTCTTCACAAGAACCAATGGGCCAGAAAAGATGAAACTCATGTGGAATCATTGTCAAAAAAAAAGTTCAAATCATGACCCCTGGGGGTAGGGTGGGGCCACAATGGATGATCAAAGTTTACATAGGACTGTATAAGAAAAATCTTCATAAATCTTCTTCTCAAGAACAGCAAAGTTATGATTGGTCAGATTTATATTGAAGCATCCTCAGATGGTGAAGATTTAAGTTTGTCTAAATCTAGTTATGTGAAAGCATCCTCAGGTTGTGTAGATTCAAGTTTGTTCAAATCATGACCCCTGGGGGTGGGGTGGAGCCACAATGGACAATCAAAGTTTCACATACTAGGAATACCAGGTATATTGGAAAAATCTTCTCAAGAACAACGAAGCCATGATTGGTCATAAGGAAGCATTCTTAGGTTGTATAGATTCAAATTTGTGTAATTCAAGACCCCAAGGGGTAGGCTTGGGCCACAATGGACGATAGGAAAAATCTTTAGAAATCTTCTTCTCAAGAACTGCAAAGCCATGGTTTGTCATATATATATTGGAGCATCCTCAGATAATGAAGATTAAAGTTTGCTTAAACCATGACCCCAAGGGGTAGGGTGGCACCACAATGAAAGTTCAAACTTGTAGGAAAAAAGTTCTTAGCTAAGATTCAATTTTGTTCAAATCAACCCCCCCCCCCACCCCCCCCACCCCCCGCCTTCTTTTTTTTTAGTAGTAGGTCAGGACCACTTATGCATTAAAGCTTTTTCTATACTTATCTGATTTTTTTTCCTAGCCACAGTGCTCAGGTGAGCGGTGTGGCCCTTGGGCCTCTTGTTATGTATGTATAGTCTACCCTTTCTATTTTGAATCACTGTGTGTCTGTAAGTTTAATCTTGGTCCTGTCAGGGTAGAGATGACAAGGTTGGACTGTATATTGTCTTTTTGATGTAAAATATTTAAGAAATATACAACAATCTGAAAAAGTTCTCTGGGAAATGAACTTACTTTGTCACATGATCAAATCCTGTGAAGATAAGATTGGTTGAGGCTAGTAGTATATACCTGTTTTATATACATTCTTATTTACACTGTATTTTTTATACAAATGGATTCTTAACAACATGTAGATGGAGAAATGAATGCTGGTAAAAAATTTACTATGACACATGTGATGCATTTTTGCAGAAACCAGAACTGGATTACCTTAACTGTACCATGGGGTAAATATTGGTCACATATCAGAAAAAAGACAATCATATTATACCTTAACTGTTTTATTAAGCTTGAAAAATTTAATTTTTTGCTGGAATGAAATTTGAATCGTTATTTCTTAAATGCAATTAATAAGAAAAAGCAAGTCATAATAGTTTTCCCCCCAGATGAATTCTCATGAGATAACATGAAAAAACGTTTGAATTTTTTTTCCCACTACATGTACTAATGAAACTGTTGCACAAGAGACAACACAGATACATGTACAAGAATAACCTACAAAACTTAAAAGTAAATCATGGGAAAGCATGATAATACAAACACGAATGAGTTGATTTATTCCACTTTAAGCACATGTATCTTAGGACTGAAAACCCCCTCATTTAATGAGCAAGTCCATTACTAAATATTGCACATAGGTCTGAAACTACGTTGTACTAGTATATTTTTTTGGTGTAAGTCTTTTCTATATTTACATATAAAATTTATTTAGGTAAGCTTTGTAATCTTTGATAACATATGTTTCTGTTTTAGCCAATGACTGGAATTGTAGAAGATTGAAAGTATCATATAGCAACCACACGGAATTCCTCTTTGATTTACCTATACATTCTAAAAACCTTCTGGAAGATTTTCTGATCAAAAATTCTCATCTAATTGAGGATTTCAAAGTAAGTTTTAGCTCAGTCTGTAGGATTTTTTCAAAAATACAATGTAAGTTACAAAGAATGAGTGTGCATGTATTTGTAATGATGAAGAAACAAAAAATACATCATGAATACCATGTATCAGGGTTTTTAGAGGTCATAGGGGGCCTGTATTGGGCCAATTTCCAATGATAAAAAGTATGTGTTTTTTTTCCAATTTCATAAAAGAAAATTCCCAAAACAAATATGGTTAAAAATGTCTGGAGTCAGTAACATGTACATTAGGAATGGAATTTTAAAAAATCTAAAAGGCATGAACCAAACTGATTGACTGAATGTAAAGTAAGTCAAATGAAAAAAAAGAAATCCTAAATGAATTTATTTATAAAAATTAATTAAATATCTATATATTTTTCCCAATTTTAACCAAATGTCACTATTTTTCCCAAATGGAAAGGGCCAGGCCCTGGATTTTAAGACCTAAAAAACCCTTCTGTTATACATATAAGTTGCTGAGGTAAACTTTCTCTGAATAATAGGAACACTTTCTTTTACAGTTCACGTTCAGCTTTAAATGTTAAAAATAATTTTTTTTAAACAAGTGCTTATGATAACTTTTGCCTTTTTCTCCAGAATGTATTCAAGAGCATGTTCATTTTTCAGACCAGTACAAGATATGAATTCTCAGAACAAGAATCCTCGGAGCAGGGAGTACCTCTGATAGATTTAGTGTCCTTTGTAAGTGGAGTATAGGATTTTTAAGTATGGGTGATCCTATACAATAGTACATGTGTAGACTGGTGGTAAAAGTTGTACAATAGTACGTGTGTAGACTGGTGGTAAAGGTTGTACATTCATGTGTCCCCAGAATAACTACATATAAGATTAAGTGTTTTCATATGTATTCTGTCATGTTGCCAGTATCTTTGTGATAGAGAGCTTTTAAACATATCCTTTTAGAAAGGAAACAGTGAAATGCAATAAATTTTAAGTTTAAAATTTTCAGAAGTAACTTGTCTGTGGTTCAATTATAATTCCTGATAAAGTTTTTTTTATACCCCCCGCAAACGAAGTTTGGGGGGGGGGGGGTATGTAGGAATCACCTTGTCCGTCTGACCATCTGTCCGCCTGTCCGTCCGTCCGTCTGTCTAGCTGTCCCTCTGTCTGTGCAAACGTGTCCGGTCCATATCTTTCTTACAGAGGAACATTAGAATCTACTACTCCACACAAAGATTGCCCGTGACCTAAGGGTGTGTCCTGACCTTGACCCAAGGTCATTTGAGGAAGTTCAAGGTCACTGGAAGAAAAAATTCATAATTCGTGTCCGGTTCATATCTTTCTTATGGATAAACTTGGTAGGTTCTTATTTCACACAAAGATTGTCCATGACCTAAGGGCGTGTCTTGACCTTGACCCAAGGTCATTTGAGGAAGTCCAAGGTCACTGGAAGAAAAATTCATAATACGTGTCCGGTCCATATCTTTCTTATGGATAAACTTGGTAGGTTCTAATTTCACACAAAGATTGCCTGTAACGTAAGGGTGTGTCATGACCTTGAACCAAGGTCATTTGGGGAAGTTCAAGGTCACTGGAAGAAAAATTTTATAATTTGTGTCCGGTCATATCTTTCTTTGTTATGGAAAAACTTGAATCTACCACTTCACACAAACATTGCTTATGACCTGAGGTTGTGTCATGACTTTGAACCAAGGTCATTTATGCAAGTTCAAGGTCACTGACAGAAAAAAGTTCATAATTCCTGTTTGGTCCGTATATTTAGTCTATTTCTTTTATTAGGCTCCTCCTTCGTTTCATTTATAAAAAAATATAATGAGCAATAACATTGCACTAAAAATGTTTTAGCATTTCTCTCTTCTCTGAGATCCATAAAATATTCATGATTTAGCACTTCTGAAAAACCCAGCGGGGGGTATTTTGTCCCGTTTGGACAGTTCTAGTTTCTATTTGGATGACAGGGCATCAGTAGAATGAAGTTTGCCAATGATGTTGTGGGAGCTCTTTTACAGGAACTAAAACACCTGGCTAACAATGATAAGTAAGTTTTTAAGTACTTTGATTTGTCTGTACCACTTTTGCTAAACAAGGATGAAAGTAGAAAAGAGCTGAATGGAACTTTTGGATAGCAAAGATGAACGCTTAAGTGAGCTTTTCTGATCACCTGTAGTCCGTCATCCGTCCGTCTGTAAATTTTCACGTTTTTAACTTCTTCTCAAGAACCACTAGGCCAATTTTAATCAAACTTAGTACAAAGCATCTTTGGATGAAGGGGAATTTAAATTATTAAAATAAAGGGCCAAGTTCCCTTCCAAGAGGTGATAATCAAGAAAATACAAAATTAGGGTGGGGTTATTAAAAAATCTTCTTCTTAAGAACCACTGGGCCAGAAAAGCTGAAACTTATGTAGAAGAATCCTTGGGTAGTGTATATTCTAAATTGTTAAAATCATGACCCCCTGAGGTAGGGCGGGGCCACAATGGGGAATCCAAGTTTTACATAGAAATATACAGGAACAATCTTTAAAAATCTTCTTTTCAAGAAACACTAGGCCACTAGACCTCTGGGGGTAGGGCGGGGCAACAATAGGGAATCCAGGTTTTACATAGAAATATATAGGGAAAAAAGTTTAAAAATCTTCTTCTCAAGAACCACTGGGCCAGAAAAGTTGAAACTAATGTGGAAGCATCCTTGGGTAATGTAGATTCTAAATTGTTCAATTCATGACCCTGGGGGGAGGGTGGGGCCACAATAGGGAATCCAAGTTTTACATAGAAATATATAGGAAAAAAGTTTTAAAATCTTCTTCTCAAGAGCCAGAAAAGCTGAAACTTATGTGGAAGCATCCTTGGGTAGTGTATATTCTAAATTGTTAAAATCATGACCCCCGGGGTAGGGCGGGGCCACAATAGGGAATTCAAGTTTTACATTGAAGTATATGGGAAAAAAATGTTCTTTTCAAGAACAACTGGACTAAAAAAGCTGAAACTTATGTGGAAGCATCCTAGGGTAGTGTAGATTCTAAATTGTTTGAATTTTTAGGTCACCTGAGTAAACTCAGGTGACCTATTGCTATCTGTTTTCGTCCGTCGTCGTCCGTCGTGTGTCGTGTGTTAACATTTGAACATTTTCAGCTTCTTCTCTGCAACCACTGAACCAATTTCAACCAAATTTGGCACAAAGCATCTATGGGTGAAGGGGAACAAAAATTTTGAATTTCATGATCCCTGCCCCCCTGGGGCATGAGGGGTGGGGCCAAAACCACTAAAATTAATGCAATCTTTAAAAATCTTCTTCTTTACTCCTGGACATCAAGCAGTCAAACTATTTGCATGATTGTAATCAGCATTGAGTCCTCTACCAAAATTGTGAAATTCATGGCCCTGGGGTCAGGGGTTCTAGTGCTAGGGTGGGGCTAAATAAGTATATAGTGAAAATGCATTATTTCTTTGAAAATCTTCTTCTCTGCTCCTGGGTATTAAATAAACCAACTAAGTACATAGTTATGATGAGCAAGAGTGCCTCTACCAAAATTGTGAATTTTATGGCCCCAGGGTCAGGGGTTCTGGTGTTAGGGTGGGGCTCTATTGATTATATAGTAAAAATACATGATTTCTTTGGAAATCTTCTTCTCTGCCCCTGGGTATTAAATAAACCAAGTAAGTAAATAGTTATGATGAGCAAGAGTGCCTCTACCAAAATTGTGAATTTTATGGCCCCAGGGTCAAGGGTTCTGGTGTTGGGGGGGGGGGCTCTATTGATTATATAGTGAAATTACAAATTCTTTGAAAATCTTCTTCTCTGCTCCTAGGTATTAAATAAACTAACTAAGTGCATAGTTATGATGAGCAAGAGTGCCTCTACAAAAATTGTGAATTTTATGGCCCCAGCATCAATGGTTCTGGTGGGGGGGGGGGGACTTTATTGTTTATAAAGTGAAAATACATGAATTCTTTGAAAATCTTCTTCTCTGCTCCTAGGTATTAAATATACTCAGTAAGTACATAGTTATGATAAGCAAGTGTTCCTCAACCAAGATTGTGAATTTTATGGCCCCAGGGTCAAGGGTTCTGGTGTGTGTGTGTGAGGGGGGGGGGCTCTATTGATTATATAGTGAAAATATGTGAATTCCTTGAAAATCTTCTTCTCTGCTCCTAGGTATTATATAAACTAACTAAGTGCATAGTTATGATGAGCAAGTGTGCCTCAACCAAAATTGTGAATTTAATGGCCCTATCATCAAGGGTTCTGGTGTTGGGGGTGGGGGGGGACTCTATTGATTATATAGTGAAATTACATGAATTCTTTGAAAATCTTCTTCTCTGCTCCTAGGTATTAAATAAATTAACTAAGTGCATAATGATGCTGAGCAAGAGTGCCTCAACCAAAATTGTGAATTTTATGGCCCCAGGGTCAAGGGTTCTGGTGCTTGGGGGGGGGGGGGGGGGGGGGCTCTATTGATCATATGGTGAAAATACATGAGTTCTTTGAAAATCTTCTTCTCTGCTGCTAGGTATTAAATAAACTAACTAAGTGCATAGTTATGATGAGCAAGGGTGCCTCTACAAAAATTGTGAATTTTATGGCCCCAGCTTCAATGGTTCTGGTGGTGGTGGGGGGGGGGCTTTATTGATTATAAAGTGAAAATACATGAATTCTTTGAAAATCTTCTTCTCTGCTCCTAGGTATTAAATAAACTAAGTAAGTGCATAGTTCATGATGAGCAAGAATGCCTCTTCTAAAATTATGAATTTCATTGCCCCAGGGTCTGGGGTTCTGGTGTTAGGGTGGGGCTCTATTGATTATATAGTGAAAATACATTAAATCTTTGAAAATTTTCTTCTCTGTCTCTGGGTATGAAGCAGATGAACTACCTATATAGTTATGATGAGCAAGGGCCCTAATCTTGCAGAATTTTGAATTTCAAGGCCCCAGGGTCAGGGGTGGGGGGGGGGGGGCTCTACTTATACTGAAAATGAATTAATTGTTTGGGCCAATCTTAAAAAATTCTTTGTTTGCAGTTGCCGACCTATAATTTTTAGATTAGGCCGGTAGGTAGGCATTCTTTTTTGGGGGGGGGGGAAAAAATCAGATTTTTGTTAGATAACAATTAAAAGAGGTTTTTATACATCTACTAGACATGAATAAGCTCACCTTTTGTTATAAACTACTTAATGATAAAAGTGTCATAATTTGAAAACAAAACTGTTTCAATATTCTGAAAAATTGAAAAAAAAAAATCAAATTACCAAATGGCTAAAAAAAAAGATTGGGTCGGTTGCATTTTCAGTGGGTCGGTAGGCAACTGCAAACAAACTTAATTTTATTTTAGGCCTTGTATTTATAAAAAAATTATTTACTTTTTGATAGGCAATTTTAAGGGTGCCTTTTAAAAATTTGTGCAACCTAGGGTCAGGGGTTTATGTCAGAGTGTTAGGGGCACTACTGATTATTGATGAATATTACTGATCAGTTGGAGTGCATTTTTGTTCCCCTACCCTGCGTATGGGTATTCAGTAACCAAGCTAAGCAACTGCTAAGTTTATTGTTATGATGATCAATGGTGCCCTTTCAAAATTGTGAATGCCATATAGCATCTGGCTTAAAACATGAATCAAATTCAATACTGTAAATCACTTTTTATTCGCGAAAACTTTATTTTCGCGTAATTACGCGAGACAGTGTGCTCGCGAAAATTTAATTCTCGCGTATAGTAGTATTCCTTAAGAATATATAGAGCAATAACCACGAATCGCGAAAATTTTGTCTCGCTAATCAAGAGTCAATGACTATCTCGCGAAAATAAGGTGTCGCGAAAATTTAGTGATCTACAGTACACTGTAACTGGAAAGTTGTTGCATAATGCTCAGGTGACCTATAAGGCCCGTGGGCCTCTTGTTACCCTTTAGGATTGTCAAGGTCAAGATAGGTATTACAAAGGGGGAAATCTGTTAAATGACAGAATGGCCAAAGTTGCTCAGGTGAGCGATGTGGCCCTTGGGCCTCTTGTTTAAGGAATGAAGCTTATATGAACTTTTGTGATATGATATGACATAACTTGGGGCAGTTTATGCTTTATAAACTGCGAAATGGTTTATAAAAAAGCGTAAACTGCCCCAATTTGTTTTCATATAACATAAATTG